TTTTTTTGGTTGTGTTGAAGAGGTCCGTCAAGTATTGGGCAGTAAAGACGACAGATGGTAAGTATTGGGCTGTGAAGACGAAGGCTTGTGACCAAATCGACAGTGACATTAACGTCCGGCATGAACTCCGGCGGAGGTGGACCGATGTGGACGGAGGTGGCTGAGTCTTAGATTTGTGGGTTCTTTTTTGGAAATTTGACATGTTTTAGGGGTTTGGTTGTAATTAGTCTAAGTTTATTTTATTTTAATTTATTACTTGGGGTAAATGTATAATATGATAAAAGTTTAATTAATGCCTTGTAATACTACATAAATTACCACCTCTTTTAGTTTTTTTATCAGTTGATCTGACCAAATCGACCGATTCGAAATATCATTTGATCTAATATTTTTGAACTTTCCAAAAATAAGTTGAACGAACTTTTATTCCTGACAATCGGTTTAGTTTGTCGGTTAAACGAAATAACAAAATTAACTTAAATAATTATATTATTTATCATAAAAAAAATATTTTTAGTTTTTAATATCATTTTATTTAATATTTTACATTATATTTTGAATAAAAAATTAATATACATGTATGCGAAATATTATGTGCAATCTAACAGTCATTAAGCCGCAATACGTCCAATATTATGGTGCACAATGTATGTATGTATTGTACAGATTACAATGTATGTATGTATTGTACAGATTAAATAAAACGATTTTTTTTTTCCATAAGACAAATTGAAGCTAGCATAATTAATTGATTTATTCCATTTAATTAACCGAATTATCCTAAACAATGAAGATATTATTATACTTTACTTATAAATTTTTCATGTTAAATGTAATTTATTACTTTTATATTATCTCTAATAAAAAAAAATTGAGTGTCGGTTTTGTTCTCTATTGTGTAATCCGATAGTAGTTATAGTGCAACGCTTTACCTATAAAGTGCAACATAATGTTTTATAATATGCATCGTGTTAATGTATAAAGCGAACTAATGAAATATGTTTACATTATAATGTTAGTGCCTTATGTGGACATATGATATGATATATGTTAAAGAATTATGTAGATCGTCCTTTTTTTTTGTTCTTATGTTGTGTGGCATTTCTGCGGAGCTGTGGACGTTTATTGTGAAATCTGGTGATAAAGTACAACAGTTTGTTTTATACAATGCAACGCTTTGTTTTATAAAGTGCATCGTACTGATATATAAAGTGCATTACTTTATACGATCACGTATAAATTATGTAGTTTTGTAAAACTAGACTTCTTAGATAAATTTGTATATCAAATTATTTTTTCTTATGTTGTGTGGCATTTCGGCGGAGCTATGGACATTAATTATGGAATCTGTGTTAAAGTGCAACATTTTATTTTATACGGCGCAACGTTTTGTTTTATAAGGTGCATCGTGTTGTTATATAAAATGCATTACTTTATACGATCACATATAAATGTATTTTTTTTAAACCAAACTTATTAGATAAATTTGTACAACGAATTAATCTAAATAATTAAAATAATTTACTATTATTATTTAAATATTTTTATATATTTTTATATTATTTTCTACAAATTACATATATGTAGAAAAATTATAAAAATATAGTATTTTATATAATTTTAATATCTTATATTATTTAATTTAATATTTTATTAATTATATATGCGATTTATTATATTGGTTAGGAAAAACACCATAAATAAAGTGCAATAAAATATAACAAACTATATTAAAATATTTTTTATATGTACCGTGTGCGGTATTTTATTGCGAAGTGTCGTGATAAAGTGTAGCGTGTTGTTTTATAAAGTGTAACGTTTGTTTTATAAAGTGTAAGGTGTTGATATATAAAGTGCATTACTGTAATTTGGATACGTTATCATTCTTGTGTTTTTTGTGTATGAATGATGTGATGGATGCTAAATTATATTATGTAGATATAATTTTTAGATTTATGATGTGTAGTATTTTGACGAAAGCTATCGATGTTAATTGTGGATTGTATAAAGTGCAACATGTTGATTGATAAAGTGCAACAAGGTTCTTTAAAAAGTGCAGTGTACTGATCTATAAAGTGCGCTACTTTATATGATCCTAGATAAATTAAGTATATTCGAAATTTAGTTTTAGTAACTATAATTATGCAACGAATTACACTAACGATTGAAATATTGTTATTGTTTAATATTATTTTTATTTATATTTTTATTTATTAATTAAGATATCTATTAATATATAATAAGGATTAACATAATTCACATTTAGAAAGTATTTCCCGCCAAAAACATTAATTACACACTAAATATGGTAATTTTAGAATCTATTTTAAATAAAAAAAATATTAATTACATTATTATAGTTTCCTATTAAAATGGAATCCAGATTGTATTTAAATATTGCGTTAGATATATTCTGTTGTAGCATATTTGTTAGCGGATTTAATGGTGCATGCAATATTCTATTAGCATATTATAGCTATTTATTTTATATATACCAATTTATTTACACTCAAATTATTTTAATTTATCATGATCCATTTTTTATGGTAGATGTTGGGTATTTTTTCTTCATATCAACATATTTAAAAATCAGTGATATAGTCAAATCATCTTTATTTAGATTCTTGGATCCTTTGTTATTATATACGTTTTCAATTAATTTAAAATAAAGCCTTTTCATAAAATCTCGATTTTTATGAAAATGATTTTCTCAACTTATATTTTTTATATCTATCAGATTTATAAAATTACTTATTAAAAATAGAATTCGTTTTATCAAATCATTTTATAAAATCACGGTTTGTATGGAAATAATTTTGTTGAGTGTAATTTTTTCTATCTATCAGATTTTATAAATTATTGATTATAAATTGCAATCACATTTTACAAATGGGCAATATATATTTTTTATATTTATCTTGCAAACAAACTTTAAATCATCAATGGTATTAGACATGTTATATTCACAATTTGAAATTTTATAGTTTTTTTTAATATAAAAATAAGATATAAAAGTGCAATATAAACAACTACAACATTCTCAGTTTTTCCAATAAAAAACGTAATAGACAGCGCATGAAAAACTACACAATTTTGATGATACACAATTAGCATTCACGTGAAAAAAATATACAATATGAATAAAAATCACCATTAGCGTTCAGTGGTATTAGACATGTTATATTCACAATTTCAAATTTTATAGTTTTTTTTTTAATAAAAATAAGATATAAAAGTGCAATATAAATAACTACAACATTCTCAGTCTTTCCAATAAAAAAAGTAATAAACAGCGCGTGAAAATAATACACAGTTTTGATGATACACAATTAGCATTCACGTGAAAAAAATATACAATATGAATAAAAATTACCATTAGCGTTCAATGTAATTTTATTTCCATATTATTTGTTGTTAAAACGATTAATATGCTTATAAGTATCATATCAACCCCACACAAAAAAATCACCATTAACGAACATACGAGTAATTAGTGAATCCATAGTAAGTGCCAAACAAAAAATAGATCAACCTTTCCGTCTTATCGAGGAAGTTGAACGAGCAAAGAGAGTTATGTTTCAACTTCGAGTGGTTCGCATGTTTGAGAGTAAATTTCCTAATTCTTATCATAACATCATAGAAATTATTTTTCATAATATTGATGTATAATATTGTTTATTGTTTCTTTAATTTTTTCACTTTCATTTCGTTATTTTTTTGTGGAGACTTCTGACAAATACTTCCAGTCATTTCAAAGGGGAGTTGTTAGGATATTGTGAATGCAACTATTAATGCTTCCACCATTTGGAGGGATTGTATTGTGTTGCGACTTTCAAAAAACATGAGTCTTCAAAAAATTTCTGATTCGGACGAGCGTGACAAGGTAGCAACGTTTACTGATTGGATTGTTAGCATTGGAGATGGGCCTGTAGGAGGATCAAATGATGGTTGTACCTACATTAACATTCTAGATGTTACAAGACTGGAACCCTTCGATGATCCAATTGCTACAATCGTGAAAAGTACCTATCCAATGTTCAAGAATACAACTGACAACTCAAGATATTTGAATGATAGTGCTCTATTAGCGCCTACTTTGGAGGTCGTTGAGTCTATCAATTAATACATGTCGGAGATGAATTCTGACGAAGGTCGTATGTATTTGAGCTTTGACATTATATGAAAGTCCCACTCGAATAATGTCTTTTTTTGTTTTGGGCAAAATTTCCACACTTCCGAGTTCTTGAATAGCATCAAGTTTTCAGGAACACCGAACCATGAATTGCATTCGAAAATTAGAACTCCAATCATGTTATTAAGGAACGTGGACTATTCTATGGGACTGTGCAATAGAACACGCTTGGTTGTTACCAAGTTCTCTACTCATGTGCTTGAATGTAAGATATTGACTAGAGATCATGAATGTGAGAACGTGTTGGTTCCTCGAATTAATATGATACCTTACGATGTTAGGGTTCCATTTACGTTCCAGCATAGGCAGCTCCCCTTATGATTTTGTATACCATGACCATAAACAAGAGTCAGGGTCGTATATTTTCTCATTTTGGCATGCTCTTAAAAAAATCGATATTTAGTCATGCCCAATTATACACTGTTGTTTTGTGTGTAACTAATATGAAGGGGTTGAAAGTATTAGTTTGTGAGGATGATGAGTTGTCCGACAATCAAACTAATAATGTTGTGTATAAGAATGTTTTTAATAATGAATGACTTTTTCATGACAAATTTTTTATGATTACTTGACAAATGCTCTATGTATTATAACTTATTGATTAATAACCTTTAATTTATACTCTTTACCAAAATAAATATTGTCCGTGCATCGCACGGGTTACGTACTAGTAAGACTTTAAATAAATAAAACTATACAATAATTCTTAATGTCACACGTGTTTCAAACAGAACGTGCGAAACCAATGAAGCCAGCAAGCAAATTCAAAATAGTGCATTTTTTTTTTTTAAAATCTATCTGCCTGAAGTTGAGCCAACATTGCCAAAATTAGTGACCAAAAATTGGGAGATAACATATGTCGCGCAGAGAGAGTCTAATTTTGAATATTTCATACTTTGCGGGGGCCAAAAAAAATAATCTTATGTATAAGTTATAATAATAATTATTATATATCGTTTCAAAATAAATAAACATATTCTCATGTGCCACTTAGACATGGCCAAAACTCGAGCCGGGTCGTGACTTGGGCCGGCCCACCGGGCTCGAAAACAATGACACGGACCTGGCACGAACCTATACTCATGTCGGTTCAATGGCCCGGTCGATCGAGTTGGGTCTGGGTCCGTGCCGGCTCCGCCTTTTTTTATAAAACAATAGAAAAAAATATAAAATAAAATAAAAAAGCGGGTCATCAACCCGGCCCGGGCCAGGTCATGAAATGGATGACCCTGACACGACCCTTCGGAAATTTGGTCCGTGCCGGGTCCGTGCCGGGTCGGCGGGCCGGGCGGTCCTTGGCCATGTCTAGTGCCACTATGCTAAACATAATTACACCACAATTGAATAATATTAAATACTAAACCACGAGGCAGTTAATTAATTAATTAAGCAGTTTAATTATGAATAAGAAAGCCCGGTCACGGGTAGATTAAAAAAGAGAATGAGAAGAATTGCGTCACACATGTCTAAGACTTGCGTCACGGGACTTGCCTTTTTCTGTACCCGTACTTAACGTCCTTGCATGTGCACTTAATTAATTATGTTTTAAATACACTAATTAACACCTCAAGCATATATAATATCACACATTTTAAATTCTTAAAAGAATCTCTTAAGATGAAAAACGAGGAGCAATTAATTATTTTAATTAATGACAATGTGTAATTAATTATTAATCTGTTAATTAAGATGAATAATTAAAGTCTTCCATAGATATATGCTTATTAATTATAGATTAACAACTCACTGTACAGCCTAAATTAACGAGTCACTGTACAGCCTAAAAACCACTGCCTTTGATAGTTCACTGGTATTTGAGTTGTCGAGATTAATCCAACTAATCAGGTTTGTTTTAATTAATTAATTTGTTATTAACATCAAGATTAAATTAAAGCTCCCCTGTCTCCCCTCATATTCATCACATATATATAAACACTAACCCTTTAAAGCTTTCTTTCACACCATCAAAGAAAAAAAAAAAACCAGCTAACAAGATATCGAGTTTCTTTCACCATGAGATCGATAGTTCGAACCCAAACACGCTCGTCTAGCATGCCCTCGAGACCTTACTCTTTAATGAACCCCGAATCCAACTTGCATTTGCATACACTAAACTCAGAAAACGAACACACCTCTTCTTCTTCTTCTTCATCTCTATCATCAGTCGCCAAAAAATTGCACAATCTCGAAAGTTTTTACGATTGTGCCAACAATTTACTCCTTTTGCCACACACAAACCAAATTTTTGCCCGCCGCGAAAAATGGGTCGATGAAATCTTGGATGGATATCTCGGCCTAGTGGACACTTGTGCTATGGCCAAAGATTTCATCTCCCAATCGAAAGAATACATTTCGAACCTCCTTTCGGTCCTAAGGCGAAAGCGCGGCTCGGAAGATCTTTCTGAGTTCATCTCCTCAAGAAAGGCGATCAAGAAGCAAATACAAAAATCGTTGAGAAATATCGGGAGCTATAAAAAGAACTCAACCGTTTTAACAGTGGACAAAGATCAAGAAACCATTGCAATCATTCGTACGTTTAATGATATCAAGCGAACGACATTTGAGTTGTTCGAGGTATTGCTTTCGAGTGTTTCGGGTGAAACGAGCCGTTCAAGGCCAAGTAAATGGTCCCTAGTTTCAAAACTTATGGGAGCGAGAAAAGTTTCGTGCCACGAGCAAAAGAGCTCGATGCTCGAGTTTGGAGATTTGGATGCTTCGTTGAGTAAATTTGTTAGTAAATGCAAGACGGGCTTGAAAATCGAGGAGTTGCCGCAACAGCTGAGGAAGCTGGATTTGGTTATTACAGTGATTGAGGAAAGATTGGAGTGTTTGTTCAAACGTTTGATTAAATCAAGAGTTACACTGCTCAACATGCAGAGCCAGTTGTAGTCAAAGGTTGATGGTCAATTTCAGATAGTTTTTGTCCTAATAGATTTTTTTTGTTTTTTTTTTTTCAGTTGGGTCTCACAAGTTTTTGTTTTTTTGCTGTTTTGGTCCTGTATGAAGTTAGTTTTTCCACTTTGTCGGGACTGAAAAAGTAATTATTAGTTCTTGTGGGCCTTTTTCTGTTTTTGCTCAATTTTAGAATATTGAGAGCAAAGTTGTAAATGGGGCAACTCTTGTGTAGTTATTTGGGAGTTAAATGTTTTGAAATTTGATTGTGCATTTTCCTATGGATTATCTTATTTACTGTAGCCATTTACAATTTTTATTTTTATTTTTATTTTAATTTTTTTTTTTTGGACATGTGCTCATTACCTACAAGTAATAATCACACATCTAGGATTAAAAATACACAAAACTTTTAGTTCATGATGGACTAATGACTGGGTGAATTTGTTGAGTTATTAAAAAGTTGGACCATCAAAAACTGTGAGGACTAAAAATCAAATACTAAAATTGGAATTTACCATAATTTAGGGCGTTGAATCGCAATTTCCCGTAATACATTCTAGAAACATTATGTTGAGTTGTCAAGATTCCAAATTAGACTTAATTAAACTATACAATAATTCTGAATGTCACACGTTTCTCAAACAGAGCGTGCAAAAATAATGAAGCCAGCAAATTCAAAATTGTGCCCTTTAATTCTATCTATCTGCCTGAATTTGAGCCAACATGCCAAATAATATGTCGTAAAAACTGAGAGATAACATGTCACAATAATGGCCAAAAAGTTAATCTAATTTGAATATATCGGCCAAAAAGTTAATCTATGTAGAAGTAATAATTATATAATCTATGTAAAAAATAACATGTCACAACTGTTTTGTAGTTTTTTGTGGGCAAAAAATAATCTAGTTACCCGACTCTGGTCGGTTGTCAAAGGAAGACTATTTTTTGTTTACTATTTAATTGTCCAAATCAAAAAAAAAAGAAAAGAAAATAAATCATAAATGTTCTAATTGATTGATTCAACCAAGTAGTTTTTTTTTTTTAATGTTTGAAAATGTCACAGCTTCAACCACTAAGAAAGTTGGAAGACAAAGTAAACTGTAGTATGAAGATCAGTTAAGATTGTTGGCTCGGGAAGTCCAAATTTTCAAAAACTCTATTATGTTTGTGATAGAGATGGATTTATTTGTTGGGCTAATCCAATAAACGGAGACGAAGTAAGTATAAGGAAGAAGTTAGCACAAGCGAGGAGACTATAGTGGATCGTGAGACATCCTTCTGATTGGTCGGAAAAAAGTGTGTACTTTATATATTTATTAGCGTATATTTATATGCTTAATTTTGTCACACTTATATATTCTCTGACTTATTTATTTATTGGATAGATTCTAGTTCTTTTATATTTTTATGTTTTATTTTTAGGATATTGGAGTATTTTTATGAACGACAAGACGGGTTAAAGAATTACTAGTGAGTTGGGCTGAGGCTAAGTGATTAAGACCAATATTATAATGATTTGGAGTCAGACTTGGGACATTCACCTAAAAACGGCTGTGATTATTTACGGATCCAGTAAAAAATAAGATTGAATTGGTGGCTACATATATTGAAAATTATTTTCCATAAAAAACGGAAACAACACGCCACACAGCATTGAGGAGGAATTATTTGCAAACGCGATAGAGGGATATTCACGCGTAACAGAAAAGCCGCCACACACAACGGAAAATAGAGAACGCGGGAAAGATACGGGGGATCCGACCGAAGCGGAGGGAGGCTGTACTCGTACATGAAAGAAGATAATTCTATTTTCTTTCTCTATTATTTATTATGTTAGGCTAGATTTTTATTTCTAGTTCTGAGAATGTCGAACCCTATGTACTTGATGATATTTAATTGATTTTCGTGGTTGATGATTTTATTATCTTTTTGGAATTATTTGTGTTATTTTGAATAATTAACCATGATGTGTTGAGTCTTATTTAGAT